AGATAATAGTGTTACAATGATGATTCACATTATCAGATTAGCTGGATCAAATTCAGGATATTCACAATTTAAAAAACGAGGAATAAAAGTTGAGAGACGAGTAGTTGATGATTTTATTTTAATAGCTTAGGCATGTCATATTTCATCAGGTTCTGCAAGTGTATCGGCTTTTATGCTCTAATGATCATTGCAGATGCAAGTTGTGGTAACTTTCTTTGGACGAGTTGCAATGTTGATCGACCAAAATACTCGGGCATTCCATATGTTTATGAATGCCCTTCTTCTGGCTTCTTTCTTGCGTTTCATCTTTTAATAATTCAAAATAACAAAAAAAATTAGTCTCCGACTGGGAAAAGCTTAGTTTGCCGATCAATTTACGTAAGTCCAATTTGATTTTTGTTTTTTGGTTCTATTTTTCAGCTATTTGATCGATCGGGGATGCTATACGGAGAGCTTGCAAGATTTGTCCTTAGACTGTTGGGTGTCCGAACAAAAGCCAATAAAGTTCATCCTCCCGGCTTTGAAGGTCAGCCTGGACCCCACAATATGCTCGGGGCTCAAAACTTCATCGAGGGGCCTGAGGCTGCTCCAAGTGGAGGAAGCTGAGATAGCGTTTGGGGTGGTGATGTGAAGTGATTTTGTATCGTGACTTGAACAGTTTCGTATTGTTTTCCAGCAAAAAACGGTGAATCGAACAGTTTCATATTGGAATTGGAAGGTGAGGAGGATAAATGTTACTTCCTGGAAGGACATACATACAGCCCCCCTGTTTCACAGTTTGAACCAATACCTCAATAAGCACTTTCCTCGCCGCCTAAAGCTCTTCATTGCTTAGAGGCTCTTTTGTAAGTAGCTGATTCTTCAATTTCCTGAGAAACTTCTTCAATGTGTCTACCTTCACCCTCTGTGTAACATAAGTAAGTAATAGCCTAAATGGAAATACAGCCAATAGCCAATATCCCTTGAAGTATCTTAAGCGAGTAGGCAATTGAGAGTATAAACTAGTCATACTCGATTAAAGGCACTTAACTCGATTACCTTTTCATTGCCATTCAATCCATTGTTATTCGATTTGCTCTGAGAATCAAGTCCCCATTCAACAACATCAGCGTTGAGCAAACGCTTTTCCGTGTAATAGCTCAAGTTCATCACGAACATCGCCAAACGTAGCTACCAGTTTGTTATCACAACTGAACTCCAGCGACTCAATATCTTTCAGCTTGTCGTAGTCTGCATAGTTCGTTGCACCATCTTTGAGAGTCTTTTCCAACTCGTGACGCGAAAATGCATCTTCAAATTGTAATGAACGGGTACATAACAATCAAAGGTCTCTCCGAGCACTTGTTCCATTATTGAAAATCTAGCACATTTGGGCATATACAATAGCAACTGCACAATCGTTGAGAAGACATTATTCTTAGCACAATCGTTGAAAGTCTGCATAGTGCAGTTGCTATTGTATATGCCCAAATGTGCTAGATTTTCAATAATGGAACAAGTGCTCGGAGAGACCTTTGATTGTTATGTACCCGTTCATTACAATTTGAAGATGCATTTTCGCGTCACGAGTTGGAAAAGACTCTCAAAGATGGCTGCAACGAACTATGCAGACTACGACAAGCCGAAAGATATCGAGTCGCTGGAGCTCATTTGTGATAACAAACTGGTAGCTACGTTCGGCGATGTTTGTGATGAACTTGAGCTATTGCACAGAAAAGCGTTGCTCGACGCTGATGTTGTTGAATGAGGGCTTGATTCTCGGAGCAAATCGAATAACTATGAATTGAATGGAAGTGAAAAGGTAATCGAGTTAAGTGCCTTTAATTGAGTATGACTAGTTTCTACTCTCAATTCCATACTCGCTCAAGATATCTTCAAGGGCTATTGGCTGTTTTTCCATTTAGGTTATTACTTACTTATATTACACAGAGGGTGAGGTAGACACATTGAAGAAGCTTCTCAGGGAATTGAACAATCAGCTGCTCACAAAAGAGTCCCTAAGCAATGAAGAGCTTCAGACGGCGAGGAAAGTGCTTATTGAGGTACTGGTTCAAACTCTGAAACAAGATCATCTTTGTTCGTATTTTATTGAGAAGCTATTTGTATCCTCTATATTTGCTTGGTTCATATGTTGGATAAACATGTGCATCTTGCCTCTTCGTTTGTTTGGACTCATTGCATTTGTTTGATGAACTTGTATGTCTTTATCAGTGTTTGACAGATATGCTAAGCAACAGCCCTGTAATGTACTAATGTATTTTATTTATACTTTCTTAGAGCCAGGAGAATACACAAAAAGAAGCCCTAAATATAATTACAATTCCTTTTAGCCTTGAAAGTTACTGCACTTTCCTTTTCTTGACATTTTAACTGTAGTTGGGTGAATTTTACCTTGCTTTCATGGCATTTTAGTTGTAGGATCACACATGAGGGTTTTTACCGTTAGATCAACAAACATACACGTGTATATAATCTTACTGTTAAAACTCTCCTTGAGTTCACTGCTCATAAGTTGATTCTACGGTTACACAATTTACAATTTATGCTTGATTTTTTTTTCTATTAAATTGTTTTATTTGTATAAATCAAAATTAATTATTAATATATGAGATGGATTGCAATATGTATTTCACAATTTTTTATGTAAAGCTTGCGTGACAATATTTAAAGCTTGGTTGATAATTAAAAGCAATTGTGCCTTTTTTAATAGAAAAAAAAAATAGTATAACATTTTAACAATATACAACTTCCCTAAAAAACTAGTACAACACCCGTGTATTACATGAGTGCTTGCTAATTTTTTTCTTAAAATCTAAAATTAATGAGAAAAAGTAGTTTGAAAATTTAAATACTTTTATAAGAATATATATATGATTATATATTTATTATGACACTTTTTATTTGTGAAACTTATTTGTGTTATATTATACTAATTTTTTTTTTAAACGTACAATATATAACTACATAACATATAAATATATCAATTGAGAAATAAATTCATTTTCTAATGAATTTTAATAAATATTATTTATTTTTATTATTATAAAGATAAATATAATTTATTTATTTTATATATAAAATATGGATGTCAAATCGAAGATCATCAAATGATGATTAATTTGATATATTATATATGTAAAACCGATAAGAAATACAAAAGTTATCAACTTTTAAAATACATTTATAATTCAATAGCTTATTGTAGGAAACAAATCAAAATTCAAGGATATATTAGTCACTTAGTGCCTCACTATGTAGCATTACAAAGAATTAAGGGGTTATATTAGTAAAAGTGATATTAAAATACCTAAGTTAGCTAAATAATATTTATGGAATACCCGAATCTAGATTATTAATTATTAATATATCATTATTATTTATCCAAACTTAATTACGAAGCATGATTATTCGTCAAATAGGATCTCGAAGCACCAGAAGCAGCCATGTAGGCTCAGCGCATTCGAGAATTATATATAGGAGGATAGAACGACAAAGCTTCCCCAAGAATTAAATTTGAATTTTCCAATAGAAACATAAAATAAAATAATAAATAGTATAACGTTTTAATAATATAAATATATAAAATCGTTAAAAAATATGATGGATTTACTGCTTATTTATCAAATCACACATTGTTATATGAGCAATTCGGATTGATGATATCATTTATGGGAAAAGACAAATATATGCATATTTATTCACATTATATTCACTGTTCGAAAATTCGGCCTAGGCGGCCGCGTAGGCGGCGCTTAAGCGCTAGGTGGCGGTGCGCCGCCTACGATTTGCTAAATCGGGCATAAAAATCGGCCTGGCGGGCTAGTCGGGCCTAGGCGGAGCTAGGCGGCCTCGGCGGTCACGGCGACTACGCGGTTTCGGTGGGACTAGGCGGCTGAGGCGGATTCTAGGCGGCTGAGGCGGGTTCTAGGCGGCTTTTACAAATTTTTTTTTTTTACTAAATGCATATATTTTTTTTATTTCTTATTTTGTTATTCATGTGTTTTATTGTATTATTATTATTATATGTGTTAATTTAATTAGTTAATGATTAGTGAAATTTGGTGTTTAGTTGGTTTTTATAATTGTCTTATGTTGTGTAATGTTTAAAACATAACATGTAGATAATGTGTTTGATAAAATTACAATGAGAAGAAGTTATATTGTGGTTATGTACTTATTTTGACTTGGAGTTTATTTTATAATATAATATTAATAATATTATTGGGACTTAGGTATGTGAATTTATAATTATAAGTTATAATATCATTAGAAAAATTGTAAAAATAAATAAAAATAATATATTTATTATAATTTTTAGGCCCTGCCTAGACCCCGACTAGGCGCTCTAGGTGTTAGGCGCTGGTCGGGCGCCTAGCGAGCGTCTAACGACTTCTAGAACAATGATTATATTTTATTATTTATACTAATCTAACTTATTAGAATATATTCATTCGTAAATCTTAAAACTGGCATCGTTAAAAGAAACGAGTCACGTAAATTTGGTTCACTTATTGAGTTTCGAAATCAACAAATGAGCTGAACTCGAGCTCAATATAACAACATAAGCTCGGCTCGAATATTTATATTATTTTTCATAGTTTAGCTCGTTAAGATTCGATTTATACTCATTAATATGAAATATACATTAACTAAACTCGATTGCTATATCAAATTAGTCGTGTTAGGTTGGTTTACACTCTGCTATTATTTGTCTTCTTTTTTAATTGCTTTATTAATTTGGAAAAAAAGGTAAAATGAAAAGTGAAAATAACAGTTCCATCTTTTCTAGAGAGAGAAAACTGTAAACCCTAAATCAAAAATTACAGTCCCTGCATTTGAAATCTCCATGTCTCAGCACTAGCACCGGCCAGCATCTCCCCGTATTCTGCCACCCAATTTTCCGATCGATTTTTGGATTCACCCAATCGCCCGTCTGGTAGCTGCAGTTTGCTCCGATTGAATCTGGTTCTGCGGATTGAGGCGTTGATTTGTCCTGCCCGATGGATGATCTGGACGTGCTGGCCCGAGATTTCGGGCTCGGGGCCCGTGGAAAGTCCAATCCGATGAGGTCCGCGCCCTCCGATCGTCGACCCATTGACGATCCGTTGTTCGGCGATGTTTTCGGTGGGCAGCCGAATTTCACGGCAAGCTCGAAGAATCCCAACAGTGGCAACAAGCACTCGTCAATGAACGATTTTGATTACGATTCAATTTTCAAGTCGTCATCCACCGTGAGCGAACCCAAGAATAGTGTTAACAGCAGCAACAAACCGGCATCCTCGTTGCCTGTGTACGACAAGCCTGTGTATGATGAGGATATCTTTGATGGGTTGCCGGGTTTGAAGAACAAATCAGCTGCAGCGGCTGTGAGGTTCGAGGATGACGTGTTCTCCACTATTTCCTCGCCACCAACGGGCAGGAGTGGGAATCCGAGCAGTAGTTTTGATGATTTGTTGGGGAATTTGGGGAGAAATGAGAAGTCAGGGGACAGCAACATGAGCAGTAGTGCTAAGAGCAGCTCGAGTACAAAGGGCTTTGATGATTTGTTGCCTGGGTTTGGCAGTGGCAGTACTGCTGCTAGCAACAGGTAATCTTCTGGCATATGTGCTGATATCTTGATCACCTGAATTAGTAGTGCTGAAGAAGGATGGCTGATTGATTTCTTGAGATGCATTATCAATGTAATTGAGTTTTCCAATAGAGTTCTTTTGTAGTTTGTGTTTGATTTAAAAGTTGTTGATTTTAAATGCAATTTATATTAAAAAATGGTTAGATTAATTGGGTACTGATGAATAAATATCGTGCTTCATTAATTTGGTAGTTAAAACATTGATGCTTTGGTTCCAACATCAATTAGCTCGTGTAATGAAGATGATTTTGGGTTGTATTTAAATGTAGCTAATATTGGAACTAATGAAAGAAGAGCAATTTTATTTTGTTTTGTCTGCTGACCATATTAAATAATCTCCCTTTTAATCTCAGAGAAGCTTACAAATTTGTATATCATTGTATTATTCTTTGGCTCTTGTGCGTGTATATTTGTTCTGATTCAAGAAACAATATTTAGTAAGAAGTAATCATATAAATTTGCAAAATGTTGAACCATTTTCAATATGTATAATTTACTTGTCTTGTAACATTCATACGGAGAATGTGTGCTAGGGAGATGAGAGATCCAATGAATTCTTTCTTTAGGAAATCTGAATATGATTTAGTTTCCTATGAGGAAAAATAATAATTAATTTTCTGATTCCATAGCTAGTTTGAGATGCTAGTTTTGCTTGAGAAAGTTAAAACATTAATTAATGTAAACAAACAAGCAATTAACCAGGAGGCATTTCTCTTGTCAGTTACATTTACTTAGATGAAGGTATCCTCATGCGAAAAGATTCTGTATACACGTTGGAAATTATGTATCAGGATGAGATGGAGGCTAGAGTTAAGCATCAGTGCACGTACTCTATCCATTTGCTTGGCTGCCATAGTGGTGCTAAGTGCTAACCACATACAAAAAATGTTAATAAGTCAAACCCTCTAAAGTACTAAGTTAATAGTTTTCTTTCAAAAGATATTTATTTTTAGTGTATGCATTATAACTTGGTTAAAAGAATTGAAAGTTATCATCATCTGTTGACGAAGATACTGAGAATTTATGAAAGATAAGTTTGGAGCATCTCCTGCCACAATCAGCTACTATTGTTAACACAAAAGCAAAAGCTTATATGCTTGCTAAAATATGAAGAGTAGAAAATAGAAACTCTTGGTTTAGCTTATAATACATTTATGTCAAATGGAAATGGAGGCAGAGATGCAGCACCCTGCCCAGACTTCTTAATAGTTCATTTTCCATTATGTAAATGGAAACGACCGTAACATTAGTTCTTATTAAGGTTAAATTTCACATGTGGATAACCTAATAGAGTATAATTTTTTTCATAAGTTTTAATTTCGTAAAAAATATATATGAATATGCATCAAGTCCAATACGATTGGGGGTACTGTTGATTTTTGTGCTCGTGATTGTTTCGAAAGAAGACATGAAATACAGATTGAAGACTTTGGCTCATACTGATATAAATTCAAGTCAAGCTAATGAATTGTCTTTCTTTTCTGTTGTGGCACAGACCAATACCAGAGTCAAGGTGGGGCTCTGTACCCACTGCTGGTTCAAAACACGGGAATATTCTGAATGATCCTTTCGTAGTTCTTGAATCAGATTCTACCCCCCATTCATCTTCTGGGGTATTTACTGATCCTCTGGAAGAGATTAGTAAACTTAATAAATCTAGGAGTGCAAGGGCTGAAGTTTCATCGGGTACAGGTGGAGCATTTGATGATTTAGACCCCCTTGGCACTAGTGGAAATTCTGCACATGGAATTTCCCCAGGGAGGGATCACTTAGGGAAGGATGGGAACGCATCCAGATCAGCAATGCCCCAATCTGCTACTGCCCGGCAACCAATGGGGAACTCTTCTTTCAGATATTCTGAGAGCAATACAGCAAAGAAAGATCCTGTAGACAATTTTCAGGAGCCTCCTTTATTTGATGTGCCTAATGTTGCGACAGACTCACAGAAATCTTTTCATCAAACTGCTTCTTCTCAATATTATGAAAAAGGCCCACAGGTCGATATGTCACCAGCATCAGAAGTACCTGGACATCAATATGATGATATATGGCTCACTGTTTCAGAGATTCCACTTTTTACGCATCCTACAACTGCTCCACCCCCATCACGACCTCCACCACCTATACCCCGTAAATCTTCAAAGTCAGAGCCAGGTTCCTATTTTTCAAGTTCAAGAAAGAAGAGCGATGAATTCTCTTCACCTACATACAATTCTCATCATCCTGAAAGTCCTAAGCATGACTGGACTGCAGAGAAGAGCCCTCAGACATCACAGTTTGATGAGCTTGATGATTTTGCCATGGACAGGTCACAAAACAGTGCTGATGAAACTACAAATATTCACACGTCCACCAATCCTTTCTCTGCTGCTGCTGCATCAGCTGCTGCAATGAAGGATGCTATGGATAAAGCGGAGGCTAAATTCAGACATGCAAAGGAAGTGCGTGAAAGAGAGTACGCAAAAGCCGCCAGGTATAAGGACTCCGGGCCTCTGGAAAGAGATGAAACAGATAGCCATGAAAGAGATTTCAAGGAAACTCAGGAGAGATTAGAACGTGAAAGGAAACAGAAGGAAGAAGAAGAAGAAAGAGAGATGAGAAGGCTCGAGAGGGAGAGACTAAGGGAGAATGAAAGGGAGAAGGCCAGACAGGCTGTTGAAAGGGCTACCAGGGAAGCACGTGAACGAGCAGCCACTGAAGCTCGATTGAAAGCAGAAAGGGCAGCTGTTGAGAAGGTAAATGCTGAAGCTCGTGGACGTGCTGAAAGATTAGCCGTTCAGAGGGCACAAGCCGAAGCTCGTGAAAGAGCTGCTGTTGAAGCTAGAGAACGAGCGGGCAAAGCTGCTGCAGAAGCTAGGGAAAGGGCTGCCGCAGAAGCGAGAGAGAGAGCCGCTGCCGAAGCGAGGGAAAAAGAGACTCGGGACAGAGCTGCTGTGGCAAGGGCTGAAGCAGAAGCCAGACGTCGAGCCGAACGAGCTGCCGTTGAGAGGGCAGCTGCTGAGGCCAGGGAGAGAGCCGCTGCAGAAGCTCGAGAAAGGGCAGCTGCAGCTTCAAAGATGAATCAACAAAAGCATGATAATGATTTGGAATCCTTTTTCAGCATGGGCCGAGCAAGCAGTGCACCGAGAGCTCGAACTAACCCAACTGTAAGTTTAACATGAGAACAGCGATATACCTTCAGAAAATTGCACTTTTGGTTCCCACAGTTTCTAAAACTTTTTGATCCCGTAATTTGCTAATGTTACCCAATATTGAAAAAAACTTGGCCAAATGGGTACAAGGACGAAAGGTGGCCAGAAAAAAGGAAAAAGCTAATGAAGGGAGCAAAAATGTTTTAAGGTTCAATCTCTTGGGACCATGAGTGCAATTTTCTCAATTTAGTTAACATGTACATCTATTATATAAGGTATATTGTACTTTGCCCGTTTGATTAAGGATCTTATTCTTTTTTTTTTTTTT